AGGTACAGAGAAGGGCCTGCAGAATCATGCTCGGCGCAGAATACTTGGGCTACATCAACGCTCTCTCCACCCTGGAAATGCCATCCCTCAGTGACCTCCACCACCAAGCACAGGAAAGGTTTGGCAGCCAACTAATGCACCACCCTCGTCATCGCCACCTCCTGCTACCAGCAGCCCTCCCCCCCCACCCACCTCGCGCAGTCCGCCACTACAACAAAATTCAGCCCATAAGAGCCCGCACCGATAGATATAAGAACAGCACCATCCCATCTATTGTTAAAATAATAAGCAACTCCTGATTTATGTACTGTACAGCCCTGTAAATGTATTCAACACATATTATATCATTATGTCTTAATCAAATGTAAGTCTGTATATTTTCAGCCACCGGCTGCAACTCTATTAATAAACTGTTTATTATTATTATTATTATTATTATTATTATTATTATTATTATTATTATTATTATTACACACACACACACACACACACACACACACACACACCTGTTCAACACCTCAGCTCACATGATCTACGTGTGTAAACATTAATCTGTTTGTTCACTGTATGTTCCTTCACCTTTCTCTAATGAAGGCTTTTGTTTAACCACCAATATATGTAATAAGTCATTTATGTCCAATGTATATTTTCAGCCTTCGGGCTGCAGAATTTTTCAATAAACCGTCAATTATCATTATTATTATTATTATTATTATTATGATTACACACACACACATGTATTTTTTATTCTCTAAAACAAATAATCAAATTAGTTTCTTATTACTCGATAAGAATGTGATAAGATTGACAGGGCTTAAGAACATAAGAACATAAGAATGGAGGAAACTGCAGCGGGCCTATTGGCCCATACTGGGCAGTCCCGTTTACACCCAACCCCTATTGCTCATATAAGCATCCAACCTATGTTTGAAGCTATCCAGCGTATTCGAGTTAATGATGATATTTGGTAACTTGTTCCATTCATCCACTACTCTGTTTCCAAACCAGTGTTTACCTATTTCCCGCCTAAATCTAAATTTGTCTAATTTAAAACCATTGTTACAAGTTCGCTCCTGGTTGGATAGTCTGAGTACCTTTGTAATGTCCCCTTTGTTTAGCCCTGCCTTCCACTTGTACACCTCTATCAGGTCGCCCCTCGCTCTACGTCTCTCGAGGGAGTGCAAATTAAGATGCTTTAACCTGTCTCTATACTCAAGGTTCCTAATGCCCGGGATTAGTCTTGTCATTCTCCTCTGAATTCTTTCCAAGGATTCTATATCCATTCTGTAATACGGTGACCAGAACTGAACTGCCTAATCCAGGTGTGGTCTCACAAGAGCAAGATACAGTTTTAGGATGCCCTCGCTAGTCTTGTAACTAACACTCCTTTGTATGAACCCAAGTACTTTATTATCCTTGTTACGAGCAAAAACACATTGTTTACTTGGCTTAAGGTTCCTACTTATCATTACTCCTAAATCTCTCTCGCAGTCGGATTTCTCTATGGCATCGTTGTTCATCTGGTATCTGGTTTCCCTGTTTACATCTCCTATACTGAGTACTTTACATTTGTCGACGTTGAATTTCATCTGCCATTTTTCAGACCATTCGAAAATTTGTTTAGATCTTCCTGTAGTTTTGCCGAGTCCTCGTCAGATTTGATAACACGTCCTATTTTAGTGTCATCAGCAAATTTACTTATGTTGCTGTCAATGCCGATATCTATGTCGTTTATGTATATAATAAATAATAATGGTCCAAGTACTGAGCCAAGTACTAGGGAGACACTTAACTAGGTAGACACTTAACTGGGCAGATACCAATAACACTAATGAAGAAACACTCACAATTCTATCACTTTTCCTTAGTAGTAGTGAAGACAAGAAACACTTATAGCTCACTCAATAGTAGTAATAGGGGACACACTTATAATACACACTTATAATACACACTTATAATACACACTTATAATACACACTTATAATTCACTCAATAATATTACCAGGGTAGATACTTATAACTTACCAGCAGGGTCGATGGTCAGAGCGTGGCAGGGTGTAGGAGGTAGGGAAGTGGCAGAGGTAGGGTATAGGTGGGAGGTTAGGCGGCAGGGTATAGAAGGTAGGGTGTAGCTCCGTCAGAGTGTAGGGAGGTACTGACAGCTACCAACACCCTGTATCTGTAGGATTTGGTCTGGTACAGTAGGTGTCGTCACGGGAATCTTCTGAAAGCCTAAATAGTGACTCTTTCATTGCTCGAGGTCTGGTGTGGTGCTGGAAAGATGGAGGGAGATGGGGTGAGGGGGTAGGGGTGGGGTGAGGGAAGGGGTGTGGGAAGGGTGGGGAGGGAAGGGGTGGGGTGAGGGAAGGGGTGGGGTGAGGGAAGGGATGGGGTGAGGGAAGGGGGTGTAGGGGTGGGGGTGAGGGAAGGGTGGGGTGAGGGAAGGGGTGGGGTGGAGGAAGGGGTGGGTGAGGGAAGGTGGGGTGAGGGAAGGGTGGGGTGGGGTGAAGGGTGGGGAGGAAGGTGGGGGTGAGGGAAGGTGAGAGAAGGTGGTGAGGGAAGGGTGTGAGGGAAGGGTGGGGTAGGGGAAGGTGGGGTGAGGGAAGGTGGAGGAAGGTAGAAGGAAGGGATGGGTGAGGAAGGTGGGTGAGGAAGGTGGGGTGAGGGAAGGGGATGAGGAAGGTAAGAGGGAGGTGGAAGGGGTGGGGTGAGGGAAGGGGTGGGGTGGAGGGGGGTGGGGTGAGGGAAGGGGGTGGGTGAGGAAGGGTTGGAGAGAAGGGTGGGGTGAGGGAAGGGGTGGGGTGAGGGAAGGGTGTGGAGGAAGAGATGGGGTGAGGGAAGGATGGGGTGAGGGAAGGGTGGGGGAAGGTGGGTGAGGGGGAAGGAAGGGGGGGAGGGAAGGTGGGTGAGGAAGGTGGGTGAGGAAGGGGGAGAGGGAAGGGGTGAGGGAATGGATGGGGTGAGGGAATGGATGGGGTGAGGGAAGGTGGTGAGGGTGGGGAGGAGAGAAAGGAAAGGTATAAGGAACTGGGGAGGAAAGGGAAGAGAGGGGGAGGAGAGGGGTGAAGAAGAGAATTGAGCAGGAAGGAGAAGCAGGAGTGGAGGGAGGATAAGGAAGAGGAAGGAAGGGAAGATGGAGGAAGGAAGAAGATGGGTTCAGAAAGAGGAAAGGAGAAGAAGGAGGTATTTTTTCCCACAATAATAGTCATGATTATTATTAGCATTTAAAACATTTAAGGAAAGGTAAATAAATACATATAACTTCATTACTATATTAGGAAACACTTTTATTTTAAACTTTATCGTCATATTGTTTACACTATGAGCTTTCACCGACACACAATCATCTTCACTACACATCATCATCTTCACTACACACGATCATCTTCACTACACACGATCATCTCTACTACACACGATCATCTTCACTACACGATCATCTTCACTACACACACGATCATCTTCACTACACACCATCATCTTCACTACACACGATCATCTTCTACTACACGATCATCTCACTAATACACGATCATCTCCACTACTAATGAACATCTTCACTACACAACGAACATCTTCACTACACACGATCATCTTCACTACAATAATGATCATCTTCACTCACACGAACATCTTCACTACACGATCATCTCTACTACACACGAACATCTTCACTATACACGATCATCTTCTACCACACGATCATCTTCACTACACACGAACATCTTCACTACACACGATCATCTTCACTACACACGATCATCTTCACTACACGATCACTTCACTACACACGAACATCTTCACTACACACGATCATCTTCACTACACACGAACATCTTCACTACACAACGATCATCTCCACTAACACACGATCATCTTCACTACACACGAACATCTTCACTACACACGATCATCTCACTACACACGATCATCTTCACCATAATAACGATCATCTCTACACACGATCATCTCATACTAACGATCATCTTCACTACACACGAACATCTTCACTGCCTTAACCCTTTGACGACGATGGTTTAACCCTTCAGGACCAAAGGGTTAACTATAAAATTGGTGTCCATTCATAGCTCCGTTTTGATTGACCAAACCAAGGACTCTAGAACAAGCCGTGAGCGCTGTACCCACTCAACCACCGCACCCTACATTATGGCATCTATAAAACAAAAGTAAAGGAAAACAGAGGTACAATATAAACATACAGGTAGGGCACATGTAACAGGTAGTGGGGTACATGTAACAGGTATAGTACATGTAACAGGTAATGGGCATATGTAACAGGTATAGTGGGGTACATGTAACAGGACGGGGTACATGTAACAGGTAGGCACATGAACAGGTAGGTAAGGCATGTAACAGGTAGTGGGGTATATGTAACAGGTAGGGTACATGTAACAGGTAATGGGTACTGCTGCCTCTAAATATATACTAGAATGGTACACAGACTTTAAAGTTCATAAGTCAATTAAAACTTGAGTACATGAGGAAAGGTGAAAAATACCACAACAACATTACAGTACTTAGTGGTGGATACATGTAATAACGTACAGTCCCCTTCACTAGTGCGTTTACAGGGGCTCGTCAGGTTTTGTGCAGTGTGGCAGGTCTGTGTTTGTTTACATTCGACAGAAGGAAACTTGCAGTAGTAAAGATACTATGGAATCACAGTAAAACATTATTAACACAAATATAATGATATGTGGATTGTTTATATGATGAGCCCTTGTAAACTCACAAGTAAAGGGAACTGTACTTATACAGAAAATGGTCATTAATGGGTAGTTACTGCTAAGTTACACGTTCCCATTACCAGGCGTCGGGTTCTGGAAGTAACAGCGAAAATTAATACTGAGGGAACCATCGGGTTTCTGCTCGACACAGTGATGGAAAGTTATTGCCGACAGTTGAGCTGTGACCAAGGAGGAGGGGGAGGGGAGGGAGGGGTAGGGAGGAGGAGGGGAGGAGGAGGAGGAGGAGGGGACTTTGGGAGCTGGGGAAGTCTGTGACGACCCTGGCTGTCTCTCGTGTTTGCTGGACATATCTGAAGATGGGGTGATGGTGGAGCTGCCAGAGCCGTCAGCTAGAGGACTCTGTAACCCGGGAGACGTTCTCGGTGCGAAAGTCTTGATCAGAGGAATATCGGGAAGCCAGAAAGGACTGGATAATTTTGTTGACGATGACTCTACTGACGGGGAAGGTGTTGTGACGGTCCAAGACGCTGCAGGAGAATCAGGTGAGGCTGCAGGTAGAGGGACGACTTTACTGGTGTTGTCGCTCTCACCGTTCCCTTCAAGTGCCGGAGCTATTTTCTCCTTTGTATCTGAGGAGGTCGTCTGAACACCAGGAGGTCTTGTACTCGTGACACAATTCCGTATTTTCCGACAACGATTATGCCAGTCCAGGTAGTAGCAGGGAAGACACGGTGACTCCTCGTAGGGCGACTCACCGTGTACGCCCCGCGAACCTTGACTCGGGTCGTTTCCGTGTGGTGAAAAGATCAAGGACTCGGTGTTGTCGCTGTTGACTATGCAGCCAAAGATCTTCCTGCAGCCGGTGGTCTCCTTCTTGTGGCAGGGACGACAGGGGGAGGTGATCACGAGGGGACGGATGTTCACCACCGGTGCCTCCGTCATCTAGAAGGACGAAGAAGACCACTTAGTGTACGTTTGTGTGTGTGTGTGTGTGTGTGTGTGTGTGTTCGGGCAAGTATTTTCATTCTAATTTCGTCATAAATTACTTTCCCTCAAAATGTCCTATACTGTTACTGCTCTCTCTCTCTCTCTCTCTCTCTCTCTCCCTCACTGTCGACAATGGAGGGCAGAACCACCCGTGACACCGCCCCCATACAATTGTCTTTCACAGGTTTGTTTATACCGGCCATAATCTCGTTTCATCTTTATCATTTATTACTGAAGAGAAGTTTGTGATCACTTTAATTAATTAGTAAATATAAATATAGTACAGCAGCTTATATACAACATTAACTCAACCTACTCCTTAACCTTATCTAACTCCAACCTAACCCTTAACCTTATCTGACCCAACCTACCCTTAACCTTATCTAACCCAACCTAACCCTTAACCTTATCTGACCCAACCTAACCTAACCTAACCTAACCTACCCTTAACCTTATCTAACCCAACTTACCCTTAACCTAACCCAACCCAACCTACCCTTAACCTAACCTAACTCAACCTACCCTTAACCTAACCTAACCCAACCTACCCTTAACCTAACCTAACCCAACCTACCCTTAACCTAACCTAACCCAACCTACCCTTAACCTTATCTAACCCAACCCACCCAACCCAACCTAACCCAACCTACCCTAACCCAACCTAACCCAACCCAACCTACCCCAACCCAATCTAACCCAACCCACCCTTAACCCAACCTAACCCAACCCAAATTCTTAACCCAATCCTAACCCAACCCAATCTAACCCAACCCAACCTAACCCAACCCACCCCAACCCAACCCAACCAACCAACCCAACCCAACCCAACCCACCCTTAACCCAACCCAACCCAACCCACCCTCAACCCAACCCAACCCAACCCAACCCACCCTCAACCCAACCTAACCCAACCCATCCTTAACCCCAACCCAACCACCAACCACCAACCCAACCACCTAACCCATCTATCAACCCCACCCTCAACCCAACCCAACCCAACCTACCCTTAACCTAACCTAACCCAACCTACCCTTAACCTAATCTAACCCAACCTACCCTAACCTTATCATCTAACCCAACCACCCTTAACCCAACCCAACCCAAACCCACCCCTTAACCCTACTGACCCAACCTACCTAACCTAACCCAACCCAACCTAACCTAACCAACCTAACCTAACCCAACCCAACCCATACTAACCCAACCTACCTTAACCCATCTGACCCAACCTACCCTTTAACCTAACCTAACCCAACCTACCCTTAACCCTAACCAACCAACCTACCCTTAACCTTATCTAACCCAACCTACCCTAACCCAACCCAACCCAACCCTTAACCTAACCTAACCCAACCTACCTTAACCTTATCTAACCCAACCTACCCTTAACCCAACCTAACCCAACCCAACCTACCCTTAACCCAACCCAACCCAACCTACCCTTAACCCATCTGACCAACTACCTACAACCAACCCAAACCTTAACCCAACCTAACCCAACCTACCCTTAACCTTATCTAACCCAACCTACCCTAACCCAACCCAACCCAACCCCTTAACCTCTAACCCAACCCAACCTACCCTTAACCTAACCTAACCCAACCCAAAACTCTTTAACCCATCTGACCCAACCTACCCTTAACCTAACCTAACCCAACCCAATCCTTAACCTAACCTAAATCCAACCCAATCCTTTAACCTTATCTAACCAACCTCTAACCTTATCTAATCTAAACCCAACCCTTAACCCACTAACCCAACCTAACCCAACCTAACCCAACCCACTCCTTAACCTAACCTCCCAACCACCTAACCTTTTATCTGACCCAACCCACCCTTAACCCAACCCCAACCTTAAACCTTACCCTTAACCTCCAACCCAACCCAACCTACCCTTAACCTTATCTAACCCAACCTACCCTTAACCCAACCTAACCCAACCCACCTTAACCCAACCCAACCTAAACCCACCCTTAACCTTATCTAACCCAACCTACCCTTAACCTTATCTAACCCAAACTCACCCTAACCTTATCTAACCCAAACCTACCCTTAACCCATCTAACCCAAACCAACCCTTAACCTTATCTAACCCAACCTACCCTTAACCCTTATCTAACCAACCTACCCTTAACCAATCTGACCAAACCTACCCTTAACCTTATCTAACCCAACCTACCCCTTAACCTTATCTAACCCAACCTACCCTTAACCTAACCTAACCCAACCTACCCTTAACCTTATCTAACCCAACCTACCCTTAACCCATCTAACCCAACCCACCTTAACTCCATCTTAACCCAACCTACCCTTAACCTAATCTAACCCAACCTACCCTTAACCTTATCTAACCAAACCTACCCCAACCACTATCAAACCTACCCTTAACCTCATCTGACCCAACTCCCCTTAACCCATTCAACCCAACCTACCCTTAACCTATCTAACCCAAACCTACCCTTAACCCACACCCAACCCACCCTTAACCCAACCCACAACCTACCCCTAACCTATCTGACCCAACCTACCCTTAACCTATCTAACCCAACCTACCCCTTAACCAACATCTAACCCAACCTACCCTTAACCTTATCTGACCCAACCTACCCTTAACCTTATCTAACCCAACCTACCCCAACTCCAAATCCTCAACCTACCCTAACCCACACCCAACCTACCCTCAACCCAACCTACTCAACCTACCCTAACCTTATCTCAACCCAACCTACCCTTAACCTTATCTAACCCAACCCACCCTTAACCCATCTAACCCAACCCAATTCTTAACCACAACCCAACCTACCCTAACCCATCTGATCCAACCTACCCCAACCTTTATCTAACCCAACCACCCTTAACCCAACCCAACCCAACCCACCCTTAACCCATCTGACCCAACCTACCCTTAACCCAACCTAACCCAACCTACCCCAACCCAACCCAACCCAACCTACCCTTAACTCCATCTGACCCAACCTACCCTAACCTAACCCAACCCAACCTACCCTTAACCTAACCTAACCCAACCTACCCTTAACCTTATCTGACCCAACCTCCCTTAACCTAATCTGAACCCAACCTACCCCTTAACCTATCTAACCCAACCTACCCTTAACCTTATCTGACCCAACCCAATCTTAACCTTATCTAACCCAACCTACCCCAACCCAACCTAACTCCAACCTACCCTAACCTTATCTAACCCAACCTACCCCTTAACCCAACCTAAACCCAACCTACCCTTAACCTTATCTGACCCAACCCAATTCTTAACCCATCTAACCCAACCTACCCTAACCCAACCCAACCTAACCCACCTTAACCCTTATCTAACCCAAACCCACCCTTAACCCAACCCAACCCAACCTACCCTTAACCTATCTAACCCAACCTACCCTTAACCTATCTAATCCAACCTACCCTAACCTTTATCTAACCCCACCCTCAACCTTATCTGACCCAACCTTCCCTTAACCTTCATCTGACCCAACCTACCCTAACCTTATCTAACCCAACCTACCCTTAACCCAACCTAACCCAACCCACCCTTAACTCCAACCTAACCCAACCTACCCTTAACCTAACCTAACCCAACCCACCCTTAACCTAACCCAACCCAACCTACCCTTAACCTTATCTAACCCAACCTACCCTTAACCTTATCTGACCCAACCACCCTTAACCCATCTTGACCAACCTTCCCTAACCCATCTAACCCAACCCACCCTAACCCAATCTAACCCAACCTACCCTTAACCCAACCCAACCCAACCTACCCTTAACCTAACCTAACCCAACCTCCACCCTAACCTTATCTAACCCAACCCACCCTTAACCTAACCTAACCCAACCTACCTTAACCTTATCTAACCCAACCCACCCTTAACCTAACCCAACCCAACCTACCCTTAACCCTATCTAACCCAACCTACCCTTAACCCAACCCAACCCAACCTACCCTAACCTTATCTAACCCAACCCACCCTTAACCCATCTAACCCAACCTACCCTAACCCAACCTAACCCAAACCTACCCTTAACCCAACCTAACCCAACCTACCCTTAACCCATCTGACCCAACCCACCCTTAACCTATCTAACCCAACCTACCCCTTAACCTAACCTAACCCAACCCACCCTAACCCCATCTGACCCAACCTACCCCTTAACCCATCTAACCCAAACCTACCCTTAACCTAACCTAACCCAAACCTACCCTTAACCTCAACCCAACCCAACCTAACCTTAACCTAACCCAACCCAACCTACCCTTAACCTTATCTAACCCAACCCATTCCCAACCCAACCCAACCCAACCTTACCCTTAACCATCTGACCCAACCCACCCTTAACCCAACCCAACCCAACCTACCCCAACTTCAACCTAACCCAACCTCCACCCTTAACCTAACCTAACCTAACCCAACCTACCCTTAACCTAACCCAACCCAACCTACCCTTAACCTTATCTGACCCAACCTACCCTTAACCTAACCTAACCCAACCCACCCTAACCTAACCTAACCTAACCCAACCCAATCCTTAACCCAACCCAACCCAACCCACCCTTAACCTTATCTAACCCAACCTACCCTTAACCTAACCTAACCCAACCCAACCCTTAACCCAACCTAACCCAACCTACCCTTAACCTCATCTGAACCCAACCCAAACCCTTAACCCAACCCAACCCAACCCACCCTTAACCCAACCTAACCCAACCCAACCCACCCCAACCCAACCCAACCCAACCCACCCCAACCCAACCCAACCCAACCTACCCTTAACCCAACCCAACCCAACCCACCCTTAACCCAACCCAACCTAACCCAACCTACCCTTAACCTAACCTAACCCAACCTACCCTTAACCTCATCTAACCCAACCTACCCTTAACCCAACCCAACCAACCTACCCTTAACCCAACCCAACCCAACCTACCCTTAACCTTATCT